AAGTCCCCCCCCCCCCAAAAAAAAGGTAGAAAACGTGACGTATAATTGCATATAGACGGATTCGTTTTTAGGTTTTGCAGGGGAAATGGTGAAAAACGGCGCGTATCATCCGCTCAATATTTTGTTCTATGCCCGTTGCTCTTATTCTTCGCGTCAAACGGTCTCTAGCGTTTGTTTCTTTTCATTTCTCTTTTTTTCTTCTTTATCGCGATCGTTAGTACCACTTTTATCCAGATCGAAAATCCTCCACGCGATCTTTACCCTTTCACGCAGACGCACACTCACTCTTTCACTCTTTATTTCCATTCGTCTTGCTCACAGTTTACCAGCTTCTTACCAGAAACTTCGCTCTATTATTTGTTAATATTCGTCCGGCTTGGCCGACCACAGATTCTCGCACGGAGAACGCTAAGGCGTCTCTTCGTTTTTTTTTTTTTCTTCTTCTTAGATACAAAAAAAAGAAAGTAGTCATTAAATTCTACGATCTACCTAATAGTACGTCTTACATGTCTAATAATCTAGTAATCTCCGTCAATGACGGCGGTCGCGTCGGTTGGCTCGTCGGTATAGAAATTACCGACCTCTATGATTTCTACCATTTCTCCCGACTGCATATATTCCCGCGAACGTTTGATACCAGCTCCGCTCTCGTTCGTTTCGACCGCCGTCACGCATCAAGGCCTCGCGAGGCAGTAATATTATCGATTAATAATTATTCAGTAACTATGCATCAAGTCGATCCATAAACGTATCTATCGTCTTCTCTTACCGTCTTTTCGTCGTCGTCGCTCCTACTAATTCTACTCAAGCCTACTCTTGTTTCTAATCCTCTTTTCGGATTTTTCTTCGCGACGAAGCGCTCATCTGCTCCCGTTCCTCGAACGTAAGCTCTCTTTCTCTCTCTCTCTCTCTCTCTCTCACATACACACACACATACACACATACACACACACACACATACACACACGCGCACACACTTTCGAAACAATAGCTGTTTGTTCGCTTAGCATACAGTACACGCATTGACGAACGAGTTGTCGATCGATCTAAAAAGAATATAGGTTGGCGAAGAGAAATGCTATGACTGGTACGATATCGGAAGAAAAAAAATACGGGTCGAAAATAAGGAATGGCTTAGTTATTGCACTCGTACGGAGGAGAGTCGATCCTGGCCTGCTACGTGTCGCTTGATTCGAAAGCGTATAAGGGATTGGCGCGAACGTCTCTCCGTTTGTGTTTAAACCGCGATCGCTGTTGTCGAGACTCGGGATTATTTTCGACGAGGAATCCGTGCGGCTGTTCTGCATCGAACGGACCTCACGGTACGAGGATCGATTCGTGACACGGGGATGCTGTGCGCGAAAGACCGATCGAAAACTCGTTCGAGGAAACCGCGAAGCGAATACGCTCAACGAGAAAAAAATAGAATTAAATCTACCGCTTCGTTCGCGTCAGACGTTGCGCTTACTTACACTGTATGTAATATGAGTTACGAGTATAGTATAGTATAGTAATATAATAAAGTATAGCATAGTATAGTTTAGTTTAGTTTAGCTTGTCTCATAAATATTGTCTACAGTATGGAAAGTCGGGCAGCCGTGGCGCGCGTATTTGGCGTAGGAATACGGGACTCGATGCCAGGTAATCGCCGAGAACACGGGCACGTTTTCTGGTCCGCCCCACCGTTACCGTGTGTGTGTGTGTGTGGGCCGAGGATAGTCGAACAAACCAACTGCTCGAGGAACATTTGCGACGGTACACTTGTCACGATCAAGCGTTACCCGGGACCGATAACGATAGATGCGAAAAGATACGACCGATCGATGAAGAACGATCGGGAACGTTACTTACGGTTATTCGTCAAGTGGAAGAACGTTGTAGAAAAAATTGGACGATGGGGGGATAGAAGGTGAACGACGGTTGCGTCGCGACGGGCCCGTGCTCGGCAAACGCGATGCGTCGTTCCATCGAACCGGTTAACGTGCTTCTAGGTTTGTCGGCAGTGCATAACAAAATATCGTACGAAGAAACGCGAATGATCTTAACCTCGAGAATCACTTAATTAAAAAGCAATAATATTATACGCGTTATATAATATAAATATATGTATATACTTAAATGCATCGTATAGGAATCTACTAGGTTCGTGTATCTGGCAGTCTGATGATCACAATGCTATAGGAATACCCCGCTGAACTTAAAATATATGTAACCTTGTGTGTACGTGTATCTGCATATAAGTATACAGGCACGCGGGAAGCGCGCTAACGTCTGTGTGTGTGTGTGTGTGTGTCTACGTGCGTATTGCGTACGCGTACATGATTGCACGCATATACGCTTTTAAAGTCCCGTGTATGGAAGGAAGCATTAGTGAGAAGCAAAAGACGCGCGATTCGATCGTATAGAAAAGATCGAATCGGTGCTTAATACTGTACCCTCTGTAGTTTACCGCTTCAAAGCGGTGGCGAGGGATGTAATAAAATGGCTGCCTTCGTCGAAAAGGCCGAAAAGATAAACGCGAGTCGGAATGACAGATCCGTGTCTCCTCACATCGTATCGGACAGGTTCTGCTTTGAAGGGTTATCGTGTAAGTGTTTTCGATTCGAGCTCGCTGATGCGACGCTCGATACGTATGTCGGATCGTGTAAACTTAGCGCTTAAAAAAGTTTGGTGTACGTGGCGTGTGTCGAATCTAACTTTGACACGAAGCACGAGAACCAGATCGAAGAACGATCCCGCGATACGATGAAGCAATTATTCAGTGAAATTTGGAAAATGCTTTCCCTCGCGATTTTGGTGTCCCTGGTGAGCCACGCGCGCACGGCTTAGCTCGTTTAAAAATATGGAACCAGTGTGACCAGAATGGTTGCTATTGGAAGAGCTCCGGTTTACCGGGCGGTCCTAATCCGACTCGGGGCGGGCTATTCTCTACCGGGACGATTCTGCTTAATGATTCTCATTCGACTCGGTCCTCCTCTATGTTTGCTCTAAGTCGTTTTGGCTAGCTCCTCTAGAATCCGTCGAACACGTCGTACGAACGTACTTGACGCGTCTCGGGCGATCGATCGTTCGAAAACTCGATCGCTGATCGTGTCGATCGTGTTTCGAAAAAACGCGTCGATCGTGTTTTGAAAAAAACGCGTCGATCGTGTTTTAAGAAAACGCGTGTCGATTCCGGATGGAGGAATACCGCGACGCGATATCGACAAACATTTCTTGTCGATTGGAGAAACGTATGTAAGTATGTATGTATGTATGTATGTATGTATGTATATCGTAATTGGAGCGAACGCAGTTGTCTCCGAAGACATCGCCCCGAGTGGGAGATTGACGCGGTCTCTCGTTAATGCGCGGTACATCTCGCTACGCGAAAATAATATTATTCAATCGATTAATTAATTAATCAATATACGTAATAATAATTAATAATTAATAATAATAAACCTTAGAAAAACGTTAAAAAAAATAGAATGAAGAATCGAGATAAGGAGGCTAGGCAGTTTGCCGTTTTCGGAGGCTACCGCAGTTGCCCGCGGATAGCTGAACCAGCCGCGTCGTCTTCGCGTCTCACCGCTCTCGATCGGTTTCGACCGCGATCCTTGCTGAATTAGCCTCGTTCCGTTCTTCTCTCTCTCTCTCTCTCTCTCTCTCTCTCTCCCTCTCTCTCTTTGTCGCCTCTTTCTCTCCACGCGCGCCTCTGTATACGTACGTTCTCGTTGCGATCGTTATTGGAACGTGAACCAAGCGCGAAAGAAGACGGCGATGGTCGTTTTTCCTAACATCGTTCTCAACGTTGCCCGCGATGTGTGCCACTCGACCGAATATATAGTCGTTTCTGTAGCCTCTTTCGCGCTCGGACGACGACGTCGACGGTTTCCGTGTTCACCACCCTCGTTAGACGAGCTCCTGCTTGTAAATTTTCTCTTTGTGCATTCGTTCCATATGCCGCGCGATGTGCATCTTTTGCTTCGCTCTGTACACACAGTGAGGACACTGGAATTGAGGCTCTTTGCCACACTCCCACTTCTGATGATTTCTCAGGCTACTCTTCAACTTGTATACCCTGCCACAGGCCGGGCAATTGAAGCCTTCGGGATTCGAGGAGCTAGAACCAAGCCCTTTGCCCAATCCTCCGCCGGACCGCCACATGATCGAAGGCACGCTCCATCTGTGCCAAGCAGCCGCCCACTTTAGTCCAGTGATGCTCAGGTCTTCGGCTGGAACACAGGATTCACGACTTTATTAGTATGCTGTTCGTACGACCGCACGAGAATCGGACGGTCATTAAATCCTGGAACGCGATCATTCGTTCGTTCGTTCGCTTGTTCATCTTTTTGGAGATACGGGTATCGACCAGTACCGAAGCCCGATCTCTTCGTTCTTTGTTGCGTCGCAAATGCGAACTTACGTGTATCAAGCTTAGACGCTAAGCCAACTTGAATCGACACAACCCGACACGACTCGCGATCGTTCCACGCTAATTTTGTTAGGGTAATAGACGCCTAGGCGCTGCGAAAATCATCTTCAACCTAGAACAGCGATACTACGAGGACACCTTTTCATTTCCCTTTCTTCCTACCTTTCGTTTTCGATCCTCTTTGCGTTCCCACCCGTGTTCTACTCGCATACTATCGCCATTCCAAGCAGAAGATCGATTTCGCGAGTATCCTGAAAAACGATCGCGTTTTGTTCGATAGCTTCGAGAAGGAATCGTTCGAATCGTTGTGACTAGAGGAAGATCGCGATCGTGTATGTCTGATCCGTGCGATTCGTTCTCGAGCATGATCATCTCCACGCGATCGAAATGCGTAAATTATTATGACAAGGGAGAAGAGAGTAATGCACGTTTGTCGTATCCCTACGTTCGAGCCCCAAGCAGCTAGCTATAAATTTCGCATACGAAGAAGGAGCGGTATTTGTGCGTAACGAAAGAAACAGAACGTACATACAATTTCAACCAAAAAGAGGTATAACGAAGCGAGTGATCCGTGCCTTTCCGAGTCCAATAGTCTGTTCCTTTCGACGCACAAGCGATAAAAGACGTGTTTCTATGTACAAGTTTCGAGAAGAGTTAGTGCACATGCTACTCCCCTAATATCGACAAGAAGAAAAAGAAATCAAAAATTCAAGAGAGAAATGCAATTGCGAGAAACGCGTCTGATTATGACGGGAAGGATCGCAACGATGTGGTGGTCGTACGACGAACTGTGGGCCAAATACAGTCGAAACACGCTTTCGTATTTTTCCCTTTCTTTCTTTCTCTTTTCTCCGCGTTTCTAACGATTTCCGACTCTATTTCCCACAATTGGATACGTCGGTACATCGATGCGATCGTCGCTTTCTACAACAATGTACAAGTATTTCTGTATTTAAAACAGGGTTCAGAGAGATACAAGGAGAACCGGTGAAAAATTGAGATATAGAAACAGCGAGAGAGAGAGACAGAGAGAGAGAGACAGACAGAGAGAGAGAGAGAGAGAGAAGAGAGAGAGAGGGGGGACAGAAAAAAAGAGAGGGTAAGAGATAGGAAAATAGAGAGAGAAAGAAAAATGGGCACAATGCGAAAAGGAAAGTAGAGTCTGGCAAACATGGGTGAGAAATACTCCTTTCGCTGGGAAAAAAAAAAAAAAATTATGGAAGATCAGGTATATATCGCAATGGATCGGAGCGGTAAAATCGTTGATCTGTCAAGCTGAAACAGGTACGAACGGTTAATTGTTGTACGAAAAGAAAAATTTTGTAGCTGCATTCGATCGTGAGAAGTACGGAGGAAAAAAAAAATGTAAAATCAGCGCGTGTAATGACAAGGTAGATGTTTGGAGAACGTTCTGGTACTTTTCGTCTTCTAACACATTTATTTAATCAAACGTACGAAATACGATAGGGCTTGCTTAAAACGTTAATACTAGGTCGCAAGATCATAAAGCAACACTGCGACTCGTGATTGTCGCGCTTAAATATCAGTCTTAACAAAAGTTCGCTTACGAACCCATTTATGTTCCTACCACGTCCATAGAAAATACTCTTACTCGTATTGTTTTTAAGATCTAATATTTAAGACTAATTCTTTTTCGTGTACTTTCTTTCTGCTCGTGAGATTTAGAAACTCGTAGTTATTGTCGTGGTGAGCCATTACGATTACATCTACGCGCATCGATAAGGCACTGGAGATCGAGTACATGATGCGATCGACAAACTATTTCTATGAAAAGCATAAATATCTCGGTTTTACAAAAAAAAAAAAAAAAAAAAAAAAAAAAAAAGAAAAGGGGAAAGAAAAAGAACAGAAAAAGAGGAAAAGAATATCGCAAAACGTATTAAAAATATAAAAATGTTAACCACACATAAATCCGATGTACATATCTCTAATAAATATCAGTCGGTGTCTTAAGCTCGAAATACAAGACTCACGATTACGATTGCTTAAAAAAAAAAAAAAAAAAAAAAAATAATGAAAAGGGGAAAGAAAAAGAACAGAAAAAGAGGAAAAGAATATCGCAAAACGTATTAAAAATATAAAAATGTTAACCACACATAAATCCGATGTACATATCTCTAATAAATATCAGTCGGTGTCTTAAGCTCGAAATACAAGACTCACGATTACGATTGCTCGATGCACGCTTTTAAGAATAAAGTACGACATTTCTTTGTTTCTTTGCTTCACTTTTCTTTCAAGAGTAAAGCTAATTTTGCTTATTTTAACAACCTGAGACGCATATTTCATTAGTACAACCTTTCTCGCTAAATAAATAAATATATGTAAATAGTACATATATAAGCATGAGGATAGTGTAAAAAAAAAGATAAAAAAAGATTCATCGATAAAATTTATCGTTAAAACACAGGTCAAAATGTCGATACTTTTTTGTCTTAATTTCAATTTTCGAGAAGCAAACTAAACTCCACTAAAATCAATTCTTGAATTTTATCGAACACCCCTAGAAGCTGCTTTCGCGATTCGTTTTCGTTTCGTTGCTCGTAATATTTTGGTACAATAAAAAAAAAAAAAAAAGAAAAAGAAAAGCAAATACGCACAATACGCGAATGTTACCAAGCTTTACGGGAGAAATTTATATTTTAAATCGATAATAATTTTTCCGAAAGCTGGCACCAAGTAGGAGGGAAAAAAGTAAATGGCAGACGTGAGAGATCGATCGCAACGAATTTTGGACAATTATAGCATAGAGCAAAATTCGAATGTTGATCGTTCGAGTTCTCGGCAAATGGAAATCGAAACGTTTGCCCATTTAGTCGATTTCGAGCTTCGGCGAGTAAGCTAGCAAATAGGCCTCCATGTCTCCAATTTTGTCCAGGTGTTGTCGGCGAATATGTCGCAACCAGTGAGCCTTCCGTTTACATCGCTGAGGACAGAACGGACATTGAAACTGAGGTTCCTTGCCGCATTCCCAATGAACGTGCCGCTGTAACGAATCCTTCCTCATGTACGATCTTCCGCATCTACTACAGCCAAATTGTCCTGGTGGCTTCTTGCCAACGTAGTTGTAGGCCTTTGGTATCTTCAACTCGGCGAATGGTAGCCCCTGTTCCTGGATCTTCCATGCTTGAACGGGCAGATCGGCGTTCTCCTCGATAGCTTTGTTCCCGGTCGTGTCATCTGGAATCGGGAAAAGAAAAAAAGAACTTTAGATCTATCCTGTGTTTCGCGCCACGTCTCTGCACCACTGTAACCGAGCACACATTTAGTACAATACATACTGTGTTCGAAGCAACCTGATAATCGCTGCGTTTCGATCGGCTTAGTCTCAACAAGCCAGCTTGTAACCTGGCGAAACGTAGCCTTCCTTGCGTAATATGCGCATATAACGTGCAATGTTCATCGAATACGAGGGAAACTTTTATTCCCTTTGCGTAACTTTACGCGCGTTAGCTTGCGTTGCCACCGATCGAATGCACACAATCGATGTCACGTTGTACCACGTCGGATTATTTTTTAGCAAACGATCGTTCGCAAACAAATAGAATAGGAGAACGTACTTCTCTGGAGAGTCGGTAAACAATCCAATTTTCGATTATCTACGTCTAATGGAGGAATAAGTCGCACAACGGACGTACGAATACAGCACGAAACAGACGGAGAAATGACCTTCTTAGGATTAGTTACAATAAATACAACACTACTTTTGTCCACACTTTTTCATCACTCTTCAACTTTACATCGTTTGAAGGGCATGCCAAGCATACGATACAATAGTTTACACGAATTCGATGACGAAGACGAGATCGAAGAGATCGTGGAATTACGTTGCAATTTTCGATACACACACTCTTTCCGCTACTTCCAGACGTTTACTTGTACTTTATATTCGACGATAAAGCAATCTTCTCACTATCATTGGTTTTTAGAACGCAGTTGACTCGTTTCTTCTGACCAGCTTCAGGATGTTGCGTGGCAAGATGTCGAAGAACGTTTCCCTTTTGATGAGACCGATAATCACAAAAGGCGCAACGAAATTTCTTGTCTGTGCCGCACGTGCTTCGATGATTGCAGCAAGATTTCGACGATTTAAAATATTTGAAGCATTTTGGACACTGGTATGGCGTCACTTGGACCACTGCGAGTTTCCAGCGAACCGCGCCACCTGAAAAATCAAATATGGATATACTACTATTCCTCTCTCGGCTCGTATTAGCTACTAGTGATCTACACGATTGACTCGTTCATCAAAACGATATATACTGTACCGCACACGATCGAACCACTGTTCAATGTTTATTCCTGAACGAAGACAATACGTACATATCTATATATTATTTCATTACAAAATATATCCACACCTACACGACGAAGAAAGGAGGAACAAATGATACATCGAGAGAACATGATGAAAAGTTAAATTATCAAAGAAAGCATGATTCGTATATATTGTCATTTATTCGAGGCGTACATTGCACTGTTGTAGGAAAGAGCAACTATAACGCTTCAATTTTATCGTCTTTCCTACAATACTTTAAGAGTAACAACAACAACAACAACGATATACTGATTCGTAACAAAATTAAATCTGGAACGATTTCGTATCTTGCGTTTTGCAGCATACGTTTCTACAAGCTTTATCCGCGCGCAAGTACTATAAGAGAAGAAATCACTGCATAAACTTAACTCACGGGCTTGCAAACTTATATTCGATTCTTTGGTGAGATTAATGGGCATACCCAAGAGCTACATATGTAAATACATACATACATAATCTCATAAGAATAAGGCAGCGCAAATATCTAATAGAAGAAAATGGCCAATTAACGATCAGCGATTCGTCGGAATTTTCTGTTCAAACTGGATGGCATTCGTAATAACCGATTTGTACCGATTACGAAGCACGTGGATATTGTTCCTGCGTGCTTTCTTGCTCTTTTCTTTCTTTCCGCTTCTTTTTCTGTTTCCTGGTCGAATTATTACATACCGTTTCTCAATGATAGATCAAACACGACGATCGATTAAACTGGGATACAACGTGAAACAAAATGTAAGAGCGTTGTTGGCATCTTTCGAAAGGCAGCATATAGAGTTGAAAGTTTGCAAGATTGTTTTGTTAACGTCTGTAAATCCAATGAGAATCTCATAACATTGGGAGAATATTATGCAACCTCTTTTGATGTTCCAGCAATCTGTCTCGTCTGTAAAACTTTTTTGGGCATAGGTCGCAATTATATTTCGGCTCCTCGACGTGCAGTTTCCAATGTGCCGTCAAGTTATGCTTATATTTGAACCAACCATGACATATTTTACACTGATATTTCGGTGCTTGTCCACACTCAACTCGTAAATGCCGCTTCAAGCAAGACATTCTCATGTAGGAACGATTGCAATTTGTACATTTGTACGTTAACTGTCCACGTGTCATTCGACTGGATTGGAAGATGCTTCGGTTTCTTGAATTGGTTGCTAGTAGCGGTTGCTGTACCTCGATCGTATTTTCATTCTTTGGATAAAGTTGCAGCCAATAACCTGAAACGGAAAGGAACGATGTAGATAATGTTCCGGCTGATCGTTGATATCACGAACTTTCGACACAAAATACAGAATAACACCTTCGCCTAGGAAACAACCAAATGAAACTTACACAAGGAAGTTGCGACAGAAACGGTGTTGATTGGAAGTTGTTGGCTAGCGAGTTAGAAATAAAAACAAACAAAATATATAACGTGTCGTGTAAAAAATAAGAAGCACGTTGGAAAATGTAATTTTTATTCATTTTAAGGAAATGATCAAATTCCGCAAATGAATAACCGAAACAGAGCAAATTCTTGCAAATTTCAATGCGTCTTAAAGTTCATATCTATGAAAGAACAAACATAAAATAAGCTCTATCTCATAACACTTATCGCTGATGTCGTTAACGACAATAATATAATACAAACGAAACTTTCCGCTTCCTTGTCAATTCTGAATCATGCAAACACATTCATCGTCATATTCTTTCTTCGTCTTTGTTATAGCGTTGAATTGTAACCTCTGATAGAAAGTAATTGCAACCATATATTATTCGATATTCTTCAAATACTAGTAACGATATTCGATGTTCATACAGTTTCGATTAAAATGGAAACCAATAAAACGAACAAAAATCGTAAATGTGAAATCTCGAATTGGCAATTCGAGAGCAGTTAATACGTCTTAAAACGTAAACTCGTGATCGGTGGTAACGAATGAAAGAATAGGCGTGGAAACCGTTAACGGCCGTAACTTCTCTTTTCACGCATCCGGTTCTCCAGTTTCGCCTGTCAAGCCGACCTCTCTTCGCGTTCAAAGTTGCTCGATTTCTTCACGTCCGCCACGTGAACGTTATAGTGTCTCAATAAACTGTGTTTGTGCTTGAATTTCGCGTGGCATATTACACACTCGAACTGAGCCTCCTTTCCGCACTCGAGTCTCTTGTGCCGCTGCAACGATATCACCCTCCTGTACTGTCTGCCGCAGGTGTCGCAAGGATACGTCTCGAAACCGATGGGTAGCCGGTACCAACACGCTGAAAACAGAAATCCTTGGTTAGCCGAATGTCTATTGGGAAATTATCTTCTCGACAGCGGCAGATTCGGTGCTTCGTCACCGAAATATTTTCTTCCGTCATAGACCGGAGGACGGTTGAATTTTCGTTTCGCTTGCTAATCGTTAACGTAAAAAAAACGCTAAAACATGGAGGTATAGGAGAGTAGAATAACACTTACGCTCTTTAGAAAATAACCCGCAACAAAGATTATTTTTTTTATTAATAATATTATTAATAATAATAATAATAATTAATAATAATAATAATAATAATAATAATAATAATAATGTTAATAATAAAATTAACTGGAGATAATCGTAATAGATATTCGTAATCCGACAGATAAATCTTTCCAAAAAGAGAGTTTAAAGTGCTAAATATCGGAACGAGTATTCGAGAGAGACGACTTGCATTCTTTCCTCGTTAATGCATTGTTCATCTGTAACAGAACTGAAACAAGGAACATCAAAGACACGAGTAACATGCGAAAGGTACCCGTCTCCTTGAAATGTCCAGCGGTTATAAAAGTCGGATACATTGCGGAATTAGTCGCGATTGGTTGGTCGATTGGTCCCCGTATAAAGCACGCCAAACGCAAAGTCATCTCGAACTTAACAACGGAAAGTACAAGGGGAAATTGGGTAGAACGAGTATATCCTAGGTTAATTCGCCAAGCAGGTCGATGCGAGCATCCGTAAATACTGATATCAAAAATACTGGACTTCGTTTAGAAAAGTTCTCCCAACGAATCCTTTTCTTTTTCCCATTCTTTGCAAATGTATGTATACTTCTCTACCTCTGCCACTTTCTACCATACGCATGTACGAATGTTTATATAAAAATGGGAAAACGTTACTACTTATAAGGCTAGGAATATATACTTGTACGTAGAAGGACAAACGAGTCGATCTCGATAAAACGAAGGAATGTTCAAGTGAGGGAATGTTCGAGTAGTTTACATCTTCCGACGAAAGCGTTTTTCCGCCTGAATAAAAGTCACAAACCGCGTGGGTAATTCATAGAAAGAATAGCGCAGAGATCGACCCTTTTGTTCGCTTGAGCAAATTTAGTCGATCCTTCCGCTGAATTAAGATTAAGAGGAGCAAGTTTCTCCGCATTGGTAAATTCGTCTAAAAAGTATAATAATTCCTAAAGATTATAATGTCGATTGTCCCGTCTGCGATTTTTCGTAACGTGTTTAATCCTAACGAGTTTACGCAGTATCAAATTGGACGTCCGTTAATGATAACGATTATCGTTATTATATTGTTATTTAAGTATTTCGCTGATACTGAGCGATTACGATTGCTTGTCAAACCAGGCATTCTAAATGCGATTACGATTCACAGAGATTCGTAGCGATCTGAAAAGAAAAAAAAAATATATGGTATGACGTTATGATTCCTACGACTCATCGTCATCTATATCTTTCACTTTGCCACTAGATTTCATTTCGTTTGTTGCACGCGCTATAGTCAAAGTATACATTGCACAAAGGTATCAAAGCTATCGCGCGTCGTATTCGAACGAAGGGCAAAGTTGAAAGATTTGGTACTTTTATTATCGTCTATCGTAAATCTAAGTGTTTTCAGGTAACCGATTTTCCGGAGATAAATGCTCGCGATAAATACACGATCGCTTTACGCCTAAGATTACTTTTATACATATCGAGCGCACATGCGCTTATACATGTACGTGTATACATACATATATCTATATATATATATTTTCCTTTTTCAGTTTTGTCGAAGGCACTATCATCGCTTATCCCTATTACATCGAAGTGATATATAATTTCATGTGTACTATCTCTTCAGTTCCATTTACCTTACGTACCTTGTAATGTTTTAACATGAAAGTATTTAACTTAGTATCTAAACACAAAAATGTCTAAAATATATATGAAAGTACAAGAAAATGTACGTACACGACTCTAAGATAACAAATTCCAAAAGTGGTAACACGATCGTCAATGTAATTTCGACGTTGATCGGTCGATGAGAGAAAGCGGCTATCCTAATCTTTTACGTGCGAGATAAATGTCATTTGACAATGTTATTTTCACTTTACGATATCGTAAGAGCCGAAAGTACCACGAGTAGTCGTACCTTTTTAGAATAAATTATTACTTGACATTTCGTAGATAACGTATTAAAGTTTGCGCCGATTGTAGTACGATCTTCGTAAGTACTCGATATACATACAATAAACAAGTTGAAAGGAGATTTAAACGATAAAGTAAACACCAGTTCGACCTTCGTTTGGCAATGGAAAATGCGGGGAAACGAAAAAAAAAAAGAAAGAAAGAAAGAAGAAAGAAACGAAAGACACAATCGGTAATTCTAAGAAACGGTTTTTACAGGATAAAAGTAAAAAGAAACTTTAAATAACGATAGATAAATTGAAATTATGTACAGATATAGAATCAAAATATAATAAATCCTTGTATTGAGGTAACAAACTCGGGATAAAGAAAATCGAACGATTCCTTTTACTATTTCGTCGTCAGCTATTTACAACGCCTGAATGCAATTAACTCTAGATGAGAAACAAAACGAAGGAAAAAAGGGAAATAGTGCAAAATTAACCCGATAAGGTACGAGAAGGAAGATAGGTCGAATCGAAACAAGTGAAGCAGAAAAGTGCACGTGTACGTGTTCCGATTTCTAGGACGATCGTGTAAATCCAACAAAATTCGTAACTTCGATTTAGATTCTAGGCGCTTTCGTCGTAGTCGATTTTTTGATGGTGACGCTTGTAGTGTACCGTCAAATTGCCACGTTGCCTGGCCTTGTAAGGGCATATAGGGCACTGAAAACCCGGCGGCTTGCCTCCGCATTCGACCATTTCATGGCGACGCATCGTGCTTTTCCATCTATAACCCTTTCCGCAAAATTGGCACCGAAACTTTCGTTGTTGCTCGTGCGGAACGCCCATATATACAACACTAAGATCACAAGGCTGCGGCAATACCTCGAACGAGTCAGGAAATACCACCTCACGGGTAGACGTACGCGTACCATCACCATTGTCGTTTCCGCTATCGTAGCTGTTACTGTCCCAAGTGTTGCTGGCGCGTCTGCTCGCCAAAACTACACCGCCTCTCGTCGTGGTTGTAGTGGTTGATGTCGAAGGGCGACCTCTCTTACTGGTTTGCTGTTGCTGTGGTTGTTGCTGATGGTGCTGGTGCTGCTGCTGCTGCTGCTTGCAATCCGATCGTAATAACGACAGCAATGCAACCATTCCTGCAACAGGTCCCGACGCCAAGCGAGACGCGAGATCGTGGTAAAAGGTTATTCGACTAAGTTAAAAGAAAATCAACGAGAAACAAAAACGCAAATTATGACGGACGGTCGTAGGTGACGAGAAGGATAGTGTGGTAAAATGGATATCAAGGATGTCGAGTTTCTTCTCGTTCGATGCACGAATAGTTATGCGGCAAGAGAGATCAGTGAGATTAAACCCGTAACCAACCCAACACATAACGTATCAGCCAATAGCCCCGAGAAATAAGTGCGCCCAGTGGTAAAATTTTGTCGTGTTTACGTGAATAGGCGTGAGGTTTTCGAGGGAGAGAAAAAAGACGGAGAGACAGGTTTGCTCGCCACAACTACGTAGCAAATCTATATAGAATGACGGTGAGCTTACGTTTGCTCGATATTTACTTAATATAGATCGTTGCTTGATCGTAACGATCCGCGCTCGATCGTGTCTCTCCATCTCTTCCTCAACCTCGTTCATTGATGAAAAGATGCCAATTTCCAACCCTCCACAATAAAATAATCAAACAGAATGCTTCGCTCATCGTAAAATAATCTGCTTTCGTACATATATATTGGAAACTATATCTGTTAATGTACAATATGAAATATGTACTTTGTTGTAATCAATGAGTTTATACATTGTATACGTATATGTACGTGTATCTCCTTTTGAAACACGTACGAGTATTCTTGGGAGAGAAGATAAAGACAGGCGAATCGTTTTAATTTTGAAATGCAAGCAATCGCTACACATTTACGTAGTCTACGCTTGGAAAGTAACCTTTTTTCGACCACTGGGACGATTCGGTGACGTTACAACCGCTAAGCGACGCTTACACAAAATGTGCTACGCGATTTCCTGAAACAAAAACATGCATCGACAAGTTTAACGGCAGCTGTGATAAATCCGTGTTCAATGAATATATCTCTGAAGGAACGATACTTATCGTTGTTCCAAATGCAAAAATCTTATCGATGCAATTTACCTGTAAAATCAAGCGAACGATTAGCAATTTCTTTAAACGTTACGGTATTGTCACACGTGATACAAAACTAATGGCAAGGATAACGAATATACAAAATAAATAATTAGACAGTTGTAAAGAACGCACACGTAATTATCCATGCGCTTTATTCTTATAATATTGGAATTATAAGGGTCGATTATAGTCAGGAAGCGATACGAATATTTTTTATTCGCATCGATCATATAACATTTTTGTACGCGCGAGAATTCTTTTTATCGTCTACCGGAGTATTGACGCGTTTTTCGTGATACATCCTGGTGAGAGAAAATAGACATCACGCGATTCTAACTTATTTATTTACATAGCTGTTGAGCAATTTCCTATGCTTGTGTGCCACGTGAGAGTCCAAATTGAATTTCCGCTTTGAGCTGAAGCGACAGTAGGGACAGTGGAATTGTGGAAGCATGCCGCATTCGAGTTTCAAGTGCCGGTACAGAGAAGAGGCGTTCGAATAGACCTTCTGGCACTTTCCACAAGGGTACTTCCTTCGCGGCTTATTCGTTGTCCTAGTCGAACAGTGTAGCCAGAAATCTGTGAAAAACCATTGCGTCAGCCAGATTATATATCCGCTGTGAAAGAGAGGTGACATTTAGATTTAAAAAAAGAAAAACACTTTCGCGATTTTCGATTTTTTACGGGAGGTGATCGAGTAAATTTGCGAATAACGAGACAGCTAAAACAGAAAAATAAAGATTAGAGATAAAGGTTAAAAGAATGTGAGACGCGTTCAACGCGAAAAAGAATATCAAATGTCACACCTACTACGATAAGCTAAATAAATTGATTGGCTCCAATCCACATAAATAATCAAAAGGAAAGAGATACGAAAGAGCGAGACATCCCCGTGAGAAGTGATCTGAAAAAAGAATGGAAAATCATCTTGACAGCTGCCACTACGCGGCACAGCGTACTTGTTGTTCGTCCGTAAAGAGAGCTTAGTATCGATGTAATCGTAACGCAGTAGCCTTTTGTATCAGAATATAATGCAACATTTATTTCTATAAAAAGATATCCGAAATAACAAGAGAAATGGACACGCAGGAACGGTGCGCGCGGCTGCGTCCATTTAGTTATTTTACAAGTGTCGCAAATATCAACGGGTCTTGGGATACGAGGCGAATCAATTGTTAACATTGTAAAGCATTTTGTAGTGAATCTGTCGGATGAATTCGCCGTTTCCGGATGTTAGGAGAACAGGCCAACATTCCGGGCTCTCTCGCACGTGCCGATGCAAGGACTTCCTCCATTTGTACGATTTCGAGCAGGCCAAACAGGTGTTCCATTCTGAAAAAGAAACGCGTTCGTTTCGTCAGTGATACGCTCGAACAGATTTCACCGCAAAATACGCATGGACGTGCTCTAAAATCTCGCGGCTGGTGCTGAGGTCGATCGTTCCTTTACAGAAACCAAACCAATCGCGCGATTGCGATTACGTTCTATTAGGTGTGTTTCGTGTGCAGAGTGGCTCGATGCAGGCAGAATTAGAGCCAAGAGCCAAGAGATTCGAGCGAGTTCGTTACAAACACCGATCGTTTTTCCGTTATAAACAACGACGTTATCGTGTCCAACGTCGCAATCCTTCGGACGATATGTCAGCCTCTTGCTCGAACGTGTACCGGCAATTTGTATTTGTCCTTAATCGATCGATTCAAAAATTCTCTTTTCGTCTTCGCTCGGCAGCTAATTTCTGCTATTTATTTACAAAGATGTGTGTGCATGCTATCGAGAAAAATTTACATTATATTACAAACGATCTCCCTTTCTCTCTCTCTCGTCAAGAAAAAGAGAAAGACGCGCAATGAGAGATATGCACGCGAAAAGCATTACCTCTTACAGAGGAACGATTACCAGTAACGCGAATATCCAATCTGATGACAAAGTTTATCGGTACAATAGTATCGAATTAAACTGGCGACGTTTCTTTGAATCAGCGAAAGTGTCCAGTCGCGTTGCAGTAGCTGCGCGGTTTCACATCTAGCAGTTTCAGTGATCGAATACATTTGTATTTGCTGAACTCGCGCGTCCCATCGCGATCTCATCTCTCGAACAACTTTCCGTTTCAATCGTGTTTTTTGCGCATGTTCCGACGAACTACACACTAGGAATCTGGTCCTTTTCGGACAATAGAGACACTGCGTATGCACCTATAATGTACACGTACCCAAAATTCTTGCACGCGTGTGATTGATTCCCGGTTAGACTTAGATAATCTGCAAGAAAAAAGAAAGAAATCACAAACTTCGGTTAGTCCAAGTCGAAGCACCAGTTGAACGATCGTTCTTTTCGGCAAACGCTCGGAGTAAATACCTGTTACCGTAATCATTATCGACAAATACATCTACGACTGTCCTGCCGTTCATCGATGGGTCAAAGAGAGCATTACCGCGCGCGTATGTGTTGTGTGCGTGCAGCTGTCTAACAACTGACGGCATCTTTGACCGGATTAACCCTATATCGACGAAAAATAACGATCACGATGGCGCCGCGGCAAAGAGGAAAGCGCAGTGTAATTCGGTTGCGTATAATTCGGTTCAGGCCCTACGCACATCTCGATAATTTCACATTAATTGTACTGCACCTCGTCGGCGAGATCAAACGAGAAACGAGTGGTTGTTTCGATGACACTTTATTGACTGCTCTTTACCTCGAAATATACGTCTGCGCGATACAAGTATTGGGTTGGCAACTAAGTGATTGCGAATTTTGCCAATACCACGTAATAATAAAATCCCCAATCACTTATTTGCCAACACAATATATACGTTAATCCCTTAACCTACGACTTACGTTCGAGAATTTTGGTCCGAAAAGGTAAACAAGCTATTATACATTATATTATATATTATATTTGGCTTGATCATCGTGTTACGGGCTATGCCTGTAGCTGTAGGTTAAGGGGTTAACTACGTTATACTTTGATCGGAAACGTTTTAATTGAAACGATTGAGTCGAACCGATGTCACGCTTCTTCCTTGTTGTCGGATTTAGTGATTCGATCGATAAAACTGTCGTGGCGCTCAACGAACGCCTAACGTTTTTCATATATATACATGACGTCATATATGCATTACGGTCGCTGTGCTGATTCGACCGAGTAGCGATCATCGCGAATGACGTTCGTTCAGTTCGTTGTAGCTTTGTCGTTGTAGACGAAAGAAGATACGGTATGGAAGAAAAAATGTTTATTCTCGAGGGACGATCCAGTCCGTTCGGAGATTAGGTCGCTTCAAATTCTAGCCACACAGCCGTGTTCCTTCTTCAGATGGTTGACCAGATTGAACTTCATAGGCATGATGCTGTGGCAAAAGGGACACGTGTACAAAACTCTGCCGCATTCCTCTCGGACGTGCCGATTTAGAGCCATTCTCGATCTGTACGTTTTCTTGCATTCGCAGCACGTGTGGAAACCTGAAAGGAAGGAAGAGAGATATCTTTGAGTATAACACGTTTCGTTCAATGCCACTTTTCACGAATAAGCTGTCGCTCCACAAAAGCATCAGCAAAGCGTACTACTTCCTTTCTTTCTCCCTTCGCTTTAGCTTCCTCTTTCGTCGAGCCGTTTCGTTTTCGTGCACTTTCTTCTTTCGGTTCGATTCGAACTCTTTTTTGTTAATTTCGACGATATCGTCGAACCAAGTTCTCAACAACAACCAAGTTTTCAACAGTAGGATTCCGATATGTTCTCCTACATCCCACGAATCGACATTCACGATCGACACTCAACGTATACATACATAGATGACACAGCGTATCTAAATATCAACGTTCACATAGATTTCTACGTTTTTATCATCTTTATATATATATAATTGTAGTTATATATATAGATGTTGCATTTATTAAGGAACATACATATTCTATTCGTTGAACGAGTAATAAATAACGATCGTTACGAATGAATATAGCAGGGTATGCACGCTCCGTCGCACTTTTATTCGTGGAGAAATATTTGCAGATCATCGAAAAGCAAAGTTCGCTCCGACCAACGAGAACTCGGAAGTAAGATTGTTGTTTGGTCAAAAACATTGATCCATCAACATCGTACGGATAAATTATCTCGGAAATCGAACAACCTCGTCATCCGGCGCGGTGTCAATGTAATTTTCGACCCTGAGCCCTCAGGAGGCTCGATCGGTGCACTCGTCGCCTTTTAACGCGACAATCTTGCCCGTGTTTTACTTGCAAATGACGAACAAGACTGTTCCTAAGATTCATCACGCAAGGACAGTGAGGACAGCGGTAAGGCTTCTTCCCACACTCCTCTCGCTCGTGGCGCACCAAGCTTTTCTTCCACTTGAACGCCTTGTCGCAAGAACCACAAGGATAGACGATAGCTGAAACACGTAAAACGAATTACTCGTTATTACGGATCCTGGCAGAAATCGTGTCGTCCTTTGCTTCTGTCGTCAAACGATCTCTCCAGTCTCTCTATTCATAATCTGTTCCCTTAATATGACCGTCGAGGAAAAAGGGGGAAAAAGAGAGAGAGAGAGAGAGAGAGAGAGAAAGAGAAAAAGAAAAGAGAAAGGTCGATACAAGGAGAAAAGCTCTCGTCGTCGCATCGGTTGCCTAAAAAATACAGTTTCTCCGATCGTTTACGATACTCTTCTGTTTCTTTATTTTTGGTATTACGAAAATACATGCATTTACGAGTAGCTGGGATTAGGTGTCAAGTTGGCGACGACGGCGTCATTCGTGCGATCCAGTGCTCGACGCGGAGCAACGCAGTTCGAGCCGATGCTTTATCCTTAATTATATAATTTTAATTTTTCTTAAGTCTAAGCGGTGTAAAATCAGTCACGCGTTTGCATAACGAACAGCTGGCGAAAATTACAGTGTGTATTGTGTGTGTGTCTGTGTGTGTGTATGTGTGTTTGGTTGTCCTCGGAACGTGGCTTGTACCGTTTCCGAGAATAAATACGAGACGTATTGGAGGAACGAGTGAAACGATGTAAATATTATATATAACGATCGAAGCAACATTAGATGGAAAATAAGGTTTTCGTATTTGGAACACAGTCGAGACTAGCGATGTACAAGAAGAAGATTTAATCCTCTCGATAAAGTTTAGTACGTAAGGTCGATCAACGGGGGGACGATTTCCGTACAACAGGAAACACCACGCAAACTGCGCATTTTTCATCATTTTTCGAAGAAAGAACAAAATGAACGGCGATTACGATCGGCCGACGAACGCATGCAATCTTTGAATCAGGATCAAATGTAAAAACCTGTCAGACGTTCCTAGCATTCCCGATGAGATAGTCCGTGTTCTTCTTTGTTGAAAACGAAGTGCGTGCGCTGATCGAATCGTAACCACGTCCGCTATTTACTTCTTGCCGCCGATCGATTTCGATCGATTAATCGTAGATCGTAAGTTACAACGCGAAGAAACGATTATAGATGGTTATACGTAGCGTTGTTCGAGAGGTCCGAAGAGAACGAATCGTGGAGATTGAGGTGTTGTTGGTAGTCGGGAAAGCGCGAAAGACGTGGAAAGCACGGAAGACTCGAAAAGCAAATTACGGACGTGACTCTGATACGAATCGGTGATGCGAAGCGAGAACAAACAATAAGAATCAAAGTATGCGCGTTCCGCTATACACCGGTTGTTTCGTCGTCGATTCGAAAACCGTTTCCGCTAGAGGAGCAGGTAGGCACCAGGATGCTTCGACGCGAATTAAGGCAATCGGATACCGCGTAGGGGAGACGCGGATCGGAAAACGCTCGAAGCGGAAGGTTCAGGTGTTCGGTGACGTGACCTTGAAGTGTTGTTCGGCCTGATGGGCGTGTAGAATGAAGGCCTTGAACGCAGCGAATGGACACAAGGGACACTTGAACTGAGGTGGTTCGCACTTGTGCTTCAAATAGTTGCTCCACATCTTGTAGAACTTGCTGCACATTGTGCACGTATAGCCGAGAACCTGGTCGCCCATGTACATCTTCCGGTAGGCTGAAAGCAGAGGGACCAAGTTAGTAATAGCCGAGTTACGGAGACGTACGGAGGAAAGAAAGAGGGCCGGCTTCTTCGATCGAATCGCGTCCCCTATCAAATCTGAAAGATGGTAATCCGCGATTCGTCACGGTAATGGTGACGGTAACGGGCGTCGTTGCGTCGATCGTCGCGCAAATTATTCTTCGCGAATGACTCGATTCGATCGGCAGAATGAATCTGTGGGCATAGATAGGAAACCGAAGGTTAGAAATCGTCAACATAGAACGCATTTCTGCGGAATCGGTTTATTACAGAAATCAAGTAATCGTGGCTCGAACGCAAGCGTGATTGCAAAATTCGGATAAATCAATCACTGCGAAGCCTAAATCACTATGTGTAACCAATTATCAAAATCAACGATTGCTGTCCCTCGTCTTTCGCATTGTTACTCGATCGTTGTTATTTCGCCCTAGGTCGCCTGTTATCGCCTCGTCGTCACGTACAAACTCGAGACCACCCATTGGACGCTTCGATTTAATAAAAAATACCGTTATACGTAGTACTTGTTGCAGAACGAGTAGATGCTTCGTTGCATCTATCGCAGTCATTCTGCTCGATCTATCCGTAGGGTCGAGAAAAATTGAATAACAATACTTACAAGTTGCTTTCTTACGTATGGAAATATTTTTGTACATAAATATTTACGCGTGCAAAAAGTAAAAAAAGAACTATGTTTGTAAATACTATGATACACAGTGGCTTGTCGCAGGTATTCGGGCTGCCTTGAAACATTAGCGGTCTTAACGTGTAATCACGCACAAATCGGACGTCGTTGTCGACGTCTAACATGGGAGAAAATTTATTTCGTGTAATAGGACGAAAAATCCATAACTCGAAGAGATAAACTGTCGGGGTTGGTTACATTCGTGCGGTCGAGGCGATAAGAATTTTCTTAAAAATATCCTTCGTAACGAGCAAGCATCGGGTATGTTGTTCAATTCGTGCATCGATCTTCGTAGACAGGCGAACGAACAAACTATCAATTGCAAACGTTGCTGTGGTGTCTCTTTTTGTGATTCTCCATGCACCATTTGTGAGGACTTTCATAGGAGCAGGCATCGCACGCCAATTTCGGTTTGGCATTGACGCATTCGAACTTTAGGTGTCTCCAGAGCGACCTGTGAACCGCGTATGCCTTGCCGCACTCCACGCAAACGAAATTTCTCTCTCGAATATCCGAATTGCCAGCTTGACGATGTTGTTGTTGTTGTTGTTGTTGTTGTTGTTGTCGTTGCTGCTGCTGTTGTTGCCAATCGTTCCTTCGAGCGAGTTGGTTTTCTGGCTCGAACGCATAGATGTTTTTGTAAGGCCATAATAACGCTGAAACAACAACAGCAGATATTGGTTAATGCGATCGATCGATCACGAACCTCGCGAAATGATACGTAACAATTTCTCATCGAACACACAGATAACACGCATCGTTGACATTCGAGAAATTTCCTTTCTCACTGTTACGTTGACACGACTTCATTCCATACGAAGAAGCCTGAAAATAACCTTCGCCATATACTTGAATTCCATCGCGCATTTTTCAACTCACTATTAAAGGAAACGCGAGAAACAAAACAAACATTGTTGCGATCGATGTACATACGTACGTACTACACATACGTAGTTGCTTTTCAGCAAACGCTGATACGTACAAGGGGACGACCATGTTTATGGTACACTGGTAAAACCTATAGAATCGTTTATTGTGTCCACGGACGAGTTAACAAAGAACATTTGTTACTTATTTCGATAAACGACGTTATAATATTTATGACGTTGATAAAAATCAATTCGCGCGAGAATTTTGTCGATCGCGTTTAACTCGAATCCTTCTTCTCGAACAACGAATACAAATAGCGAACACAAACGGAAACTGTAAAGCGAAAAACGAAGGTTCAACGGCACGCGTTAATTAATAATGCGCGCTTATCATATTATTCGCTCTTCATACGATACGACGACGATCGCGACAGCATAATCGACGATCTCTATAAACGAAGAAATCAAACGACGATAAACGTTTGCTTCGGGCGTAATACTGATTCCTTACAAAATCATTCTAAAACTCTCTAAAACTATCTAAAACTCTGTGAAACTCTGTGAATCTCTCTGAAACTCTCTATAACATACGAGAGTGTGAGACTATACTGATTTTCGTTATAGTTACAAATACTTTTGCTTATGAATAATATTACGATACGTGTATAGTCACCGATACGACGATGTACATGCAAAGTACATCTTGCGTACGAATCACGTAACCGCCGGAAATTTTTATTTTCTTTCGTGCTACGATATAGTCTATGGTTGATAAATCGACTTTGATAGGCCTTTCGAATTCCACGATGGAAAAAATAAACAAGTAGCCGCGAACGGTCTACGACTATTGCTTCGGTTCGTTCGAGTCACTCGTACGATGGAAAGTCTTCATATGCCTTCTCACGCAGAATGAATAATTGCTACGAAAGTTGCATAGGTCGCAACGAAACTTTAACACGCCGGTATCGTGAACATTTCGCACGTGTCTCTCCATGTTCGCCTTATATGTGCTCTTGTACGGGCAGAAGGAACAAGCGAATTGCGAATTTCTGGGATTCATCTTGCATCCAAATTGCACGTGCCTCCTCAACAAGTTCTTCAAGGGAAAGACCTTCTTGCAGAAACCGCACATGTGCCTCTTGTGATTGTTCAACAGGGACTGTGTCACAGCGGAAATCTTAAACTTATCGAATTCCGGAGGAAGTTGGAGACCATCGACGGAGCCGTAGTCAGTCACGTAACCTTGTACGTTCCAAACGCCTGAAACAAAGCAAAAGAACAAGGATGAAGCAGAGTTCGTGAATATGCCTCGAGGACGTCGTTGTTCTCTTCGGATCGAGCGAACTCGTACGACGCCGCATCGAAATCTCGTTCAACGAATAAAACGCTCCACGAGCATCCTTCGATCGCCTCTCAAACTCTCAACGAAGTGTCGTACACCGTAATTCCTGCTTGTGATGTAAAGCTTACGCTTAACCAAGGGCCAAGGAATAACCAGAATTCAGCATACGTGCACTAACGTTATGAAAGAGAAGAAGATTGCGGACCGCTGTAACGTTCGTTTAATCTTGCAACGATACTCGCAGCGAAGCTTACAGAGAGAAACACGTTAAAATGTAGGATCGTTGGACGTGCGCATGTTTATTAAATAATCGAAAAATAATATACTTGTTAAATAATTGAAAGAGAAGAGTGAAAAGGAAAGAGTTTCGTATCGATGTACCATTGTTGACGCAGTCATTCCACCTCTATGATCTTACGGTCGTTCGAATTCGAACGTTTCTCAATTCTCAACGTCCGCCTTGGCGAAAAGAAGATCCTTCGGAATTCTTCTGGAAGCGCGCGATCGGTCGGAGAAGCGACGGAAAAGACGACGAACAAAGGTAAAATTACGCTAAGCCGGAAGTCGCGAATGCACGTGTCTCATGTGCCTGAAGAGTATGTCCTTCCTGCTGGTTCTGTAGTCGCACAATTTGCAGCAGAACATCGGTGGTAATCCGCAACCAGTGCTCAAGTGACGCTGAAGGCTTGCCTTCCAGGTGTAACCTTTGCCGCATTTCGGACAGACAAAGACAGGTTTGCCGGACTGGTCCGGCGTCAGCGAGTCGTCCAACTGTTGGCCCGACAAGCCACCCCCTAAAAACCAAAAGCGTTCGGGTTAGAAATGATGCCCCTTCCTCGTTTTCTCATCAAATCCAATCAACATCGAAGTGGTTGCAACGCTTCGAAATGAGAGCGCGACCGTCTGAAAAAAAATGCGATACGATCACGTAAGCTTCGATTTATGCACGGCGTCTCACCGATTTCAAATTCACCGAATGGCAGAGAAAAGGAAATGGATGGCGAACGGTGGACGCCGAATACCAGTGAAACGTGACGACAACTAATCGCATTCGCTAAGGGAGGACATCGAGTCCGTACTAACCATTACGTGAAAGTACGAAAATGTTCATAAACGATACGTTTATTACAGATCATGACAGCGTCAACAACAACAACAACAATTTATTCATAAAATTCGTTCGATTTCAAATCACATCGTTTGAATTTTCTCTCACAAAGGAGATACACACCGATCTCGAATTCGTAAGAAAAAGTAACATGGACATCGTGGAACGCTAATAGATCTCCTGCATTGACTCGCAAGCTGTGTGTTCGCGCAGCACATGGTACTTAAGTAGAGTGGGTATTCTAGCTCTGTGCGTGCAATAAGGGCAAGGATAAAGTGGTTCCATTTGGCAGAAAAAATTCATATGTTTCCGCAAACTCCTCCAGTCGCTGTACTTCTTTGCACACTTCAAACAGAGAAGTTCGTCCTTGCAACGCTTCCAAATATCGAGTGGCAGCTGATCGCAAAAAAACGGACCTTTGGCTGAAACAGCATCGGAAAGTTGCATCAGTGAAGTGACCTTTCGCTTGAAAAGAAAGAAAGGAAAAGAAAAAGAAAACGAGGGTCGTCAGAAGGTATGCGACATCGACATCTTTCGATGTCAGAGACGACACAGATGCGGATTTTCAAATTGTATATTGTAAATAAGTGGAATGAAGAAAGACGCGAATGAAAAAGTACCCGGCAATGATTTCACATAATTCCTTTCTCTTATTTCCTTCCTTTTCCCTTTCTTTGTACTGCTCGATGATTACAGGAAAAGACGTTTAGAAGCATGTGTTCCGAATTTCTCGTAAAGGAGCGTTACACTTTTGATGCGCCAGTGTGAAAGGAAAGCGTCATACGAGATATGTAAACCGTGTATATTTATTATTCTCATGCAACGCCTTATACAACAACAAATTTTTCTTTCTCGGATTGTGTTTGTCGATATCATGGTGTCGAGATAAAGTAAAAGTCGATGCAGACTTGGACCTCATTGGATACATCACTTTAGATACATGAGCGTTTTGCCACTTACTATTACTCGTCTTTAACGTCATTACTGAGAAAAATAATAGCAAACGTGGTACAAACAATTCTCACAGCCCAATCATTACCAAACACGAGTTAACGGAAATAATTAACAATTTTTAGCTGCTTTAATTTAACACAATTTGACAATTACGATACAACCTAGTGTAAACCACCATTTCCTGTTTCAACTTCCAATTCTGCTATATATCGTTATAAAATTCCCTCAATATATATTTCGAATACATACCCTAACTTTTTTTTGAAGCACAGTCTTAAAAATTTAATATTAACATAATAATATGATAATATAATAATAATAATAATGATAATAATCGTGTTGTAAGCAATATTCGTAGTAATAGTACCAATAGCAGTAATTATAGCAATAGTAGAAGTAATAGTGATAATAGTAATAATAATAATAATAATAATAATAATAAAAGTAATAATCATAGTAAAAAAGAATAAAATAATTCAACACCATCAAAGTGTATCTAATCCAAAGTTACACTTTAGAAAGATACACAATATTCGTCCGTGTATCACTTGACGAACCAAAGTACGTAGAATGAATACATGGCGTTCCCCTAGCTCAAGTGTACGAATATCGAACCAGTAGTTCGATAATCTTTTGAACGAGGCTACATATGACACACTGATAACTATAAGAAAATCAAAATCAATGACGAGAAGACATCGTGTTCGTGTCAAGCTGTGCTTTCGTACCCGTAAAACATTTCCAAATTACAACGAAGCGTATCACTATTTTGTACCTTGATACATCATTGATCTAACTACAAAACATTTGTCAAAGAAAAGGTACATAACCATCGCGAACATCGTGATAATAGCATGCTTATGATCTCAAACCTTTAGAAAAAATCTTTGTTTGCGTCTCATTTATATATTATACATATATATATATATATATTTTTTTTTTAATAGTCGATAGTTTATCAAAAGGATGTATACTATTTAAGCCGTGGACAGATACTTATATTCATAAACAACGGACATGCGACGTGTTGAACAGTTTCTACGAAGATTTTCTGAGTTTCTCTCTTTCTTTTATGTACGTGCACAGAACAATTTCAAATACTGAAATCACAGCAACGACTACATGTTGTTTTCACTTAAATTCTACTTTATAGACTAAATTACGTAACACAATGAAAAATCAGCAAGTTCTTAGAGAACATTCTTCTTAGACAAAAAAAAAAAAAGAAAAAAACAAAAAAAGAAAAATTTCTTTCCGATACAAAACGTTTTATGTTTTTTTAGGCGATTTCTTAGGGTTGCCTTGACGTGAAAATATCACATTCAGGAACCTGATCATCGGTCTGAAAAAATCAGTTGGCAAAATATTCTGTCAGAAAAACGATGATCTATCGACTATTTGATACTCCTAAACTTAATCGATAATTTAATGCTTGTTTCCGAAACGGGTGTCTTCATACTCCCGAATCTTCGGACTTTTTTTGCTTCCGCACGGCACATGTTCATCGGTTGACACTCTTAGGGAAATTAATCATCGTTGTTACTGTCGTGGAAGGTTTTTAAATGTCTGATCAGACTGCAACGTTGTGTGAACATGCTGTGGCAAACGAAACAGCAAAATTTCCTTTTCACGCCGCACGCGTATTGGATGTGACGATCGAGATTCCCTTTGGTGGCATAGGATCTTTTGCAACGCGTACACTTCCATTTGCCCCCGTTATTCCTTCTTTTACCGCAAACTGTCCTACGATGACGATTAAGGGTGAATATGTGAGTGTATCCTTTGCCGCAGTTCGAGCATATGTAAGGTTTGTCCGTTTCTGGTACCCAATGTTGAGAAGCCCGGTATCCAATCTCCTCGAAGATATCCTTCGAATTCAGGCTTAATGGATCGGCGGCATCGTTGTGGACATCGACCGGCGCCGGACACTTTAGGTACATTTCGTCACCCAGTACTTCTGACAAAAAAAAAACAAATAAATTTCACACGTTAAGGCGAGAGGAAACGTGAAAATTTGAAGGAGAGAAGAAAGTTTATCGAACCGAAGAGTAGTCGACAGTGAGAGAATAATGTACCGAAAGAAAACAAGTTTAAGCATTCTTCGCGATTAGAGAGATACGTGTCCCGAATACAAAAATTACAGATATGAAAGGTGTTATGGAAAATAAAAGAAGATTAATTAGGGAATGGCGTTTCTTCCTTGACTTTCTTATTCTCATTTTCACCCTCGCTCTTGCTTTCACTCGCGCTCTCACTCCCACTTTCACTGCAACTACGAGAAGGGAAGAAGAGACAAAGAAGAGACCAGTAACGATTTTGCTTATTCTTTTCGCACGTACATTTCAAACAACGGTGAGAAACGGTAACGATCGAACGGTCAATTAAAGATCTTCAAGACGAGATTGATCGGTAATAATTATTGTATACATACTTGTACATCGAAATGAGACGCAGGACGAATATCCTCGATAGATGTCGGCATCGATTAGGACGAGCAAGAACATATTGTGATCGATTTCTATTTCTTCCGTGTTACATAAAGAAAATAAATTATCGGAGAATATAAACTCGAGGGTATTCTACAAACATAGAAGGCGAACGCTAAATTTGCAAACGGGAACTTTTTCTTTTTAAATTATTGTGTGCGTGCACGTGTGGTTTACACGTTCAATCTTCGAGTGGGAGACGAGCGGTTGTTACGAAAAATGCTTGTAAATTGTCGGAAAATTGTATTATTATATTTATTATCTCTGTTAGACACTTGATGTCACATCAAACTATTATCGACGTTCTAGGAGACAAGTTAAAACGGACTTTGATAATATACCATTAAAAACAAACAACACCGACTACGTTAAATGCGTTCAGCCAAAATCTGTTAAGAGACTCGAACCATCAAACACGGTGCAATTTGCAGGCGTTTATGCGTATTTCGATAATCCTTAGCGCAATATCTTCGAATTCGAGGATGCAGTTCGGTGGCCACTTGTCATGGTTGTCTCTTCGATGATGTAACGTCACCAGGTCGGTCTTTGAGCCAATCTTCGATTGTAATGTTGAGCCAGATTCACGATAATGCCATCTTCTTCGCGTGAATACGGTTTCTTCACTGACGGATTAAGGCATCTTCCGAATGCAGGACGACTTTGCCATCGACGAACAAATTCACTCGCTCACTCTCTCACTCTCATTCTCTCTTTCTCTCTCTCCCTCTCCCTCTCTCTCTCTCTCTCTCTCTCTTCCTCTGTCTGACTGACTGAAACCGAATGGTTGAACGCGAACAATCGACGGATGAATTAGCTTCGCAAGACCTAGAGGAACATAAAGAGTAAAGTTGTGTTAATCGCGAAACAGAAATATCGGAACAATCAACGTAGCACCATCGGGGACCAGAGTTTCATTGCTAACTTGGAAGAATCGATTCATCGATCCATCGATCCTCCCAAGGACAATGTTTCTCGCTCCCTGCTCGTTGATGCCGCTGTCGCGAAAAAATTCTAGCAGTTATAGCAAAAGGATATATGGAAGGAAACGGACGTTCTTGGAACGTGGGCAAAGGCAAACACAAGGAACAACCTACGTTCCGAAGGATTCGAATGGAGGTGGATCTTGTGGATGCGCGGGATTGTTGCTATGGAAAGGAAGAGACGAGAATTTTCTAAGTGATTTGAACGGCACTCCCGTAAATTGTAAGATTGACTGCCATTTAAAACTAGAATCGAATGTTGTAGCTGCTCTACAACAGAAAACAATGAATCTTTAGTATTATAGCATGTACAGATTGTTGCGTCGCGAATATTTAGCGGTTCGCGACATTGAAAGTGAACTGCATGATAGCGTGCAAGTACAATTTAGCGATTGAATTTCGACGTGCTCTGTTCGAGGGTTTGAATAATGTAATTTTTAGGTTTCGCCTCCTTGACAACGTCGATCTTATGAATCGCGGTCACGTGTCGTTGCAGGCTCGTCTTCTGAGTGAAACTGTAGCTGCAGTAGTAACAGGGAAACTGCCGTTTTCCTCCGCATTCCCATTTCATGTGCCTCCTCAAGTTGCACAGCATCGTGTATGCTCGACCGCATTGCTGACAGATGAACGGAGACCTCACGAAATCTGTCAAATGCAAAGAAAAATACTACCGTCAGAAAGTTTCATCGAACAGGCGGGCAACCGGACAATTCGTATATCGAGAAGCTATCGATTTTCTGACATGGATGGAAGTTTCTAATCGACCAGTAAACGTGTCACGAGTGCTCCGTCTTCGAGTGAATTCCCAGCCATCGATAGAAGCGGAGCATTTGTTCGTCGATTACTACGACGAAACGTCCAAATTAATTGCCAGTCTCTGTCAAAAGATAGACAGACGGAGAGAAAGGATGAGGAAAAAGTTTGCCGACCGCGATTCGATCGTTTACATCTGTTCTTCGAAGACCAAGAGAAATCTGTATCGTGAAACTGGCATTAATTTTCGTTGGCGCGTTGTGTCCGTGAAATGTGAACTACACAGAAACCGGGAAACGGTTATTGTAAAACGGTTTTTTAGTTGGGACGCGCGTGCCTTTAAGTTCAAACGAATAGTTACGATTACGGTTTTCACTTTTCCTACGTGTCAAATGAATCAACGACCAAACGAACACGACTGGTGGATAATCGTTTATTTAATTCTACATGGAGAGAGCCACTGAAAACGTTAGGAGAGCGCGAAACGCGTCTTCGAGTGAATCTTCGTGGATCGTGTTTATCGTCTGTTTTATTTGTGCAGCTTGAAAGTAGTTCTTCTTCGGGAAGTGAAACGAAGATCTGCGTTCTTCACTGATGACCGGCAAACGATATCTTCCAATCGATGAAGTATCAGTGACAATGACCTAATTGTGGAGACCTGAAAAAAAGAAAACGTTCGAAATTTTATGAAAACGCTCGAACTTTATTACATGGCCCACAAAGTCCGATGAATTCGATCGCGCGAACAAATTTTGCTTCGAATCCGAACGAAAGAATGCGGCGTGGCTGTGGTTGCCGAATCACGTGAACGAGTGATGCCGTTGACGAATGTGCACCTTACGTGGGAAGCAATGGTAGATAAAGACGAAGCTTCTCGCGAACGTTCGCTTGTTTTCAACCGATTTATTGTTTTTCTTTTGCCGTTTAATCAGACAAACGTTACATGAACTAAGATTCTTGACAAGAATCGCGTTGCTTGTATCAAAAAGGTATCTTACTGTGAAAGTAACGGTAACGAACGAAGACGTTGAGAAATATACGGCATTTAACCGTACGCGGATCTCATCCACGTCTTGCGCGGCGGGACAAAGATGTTGTGCGCGTTTAGCATATGTTGTCTTAGCTTTCCATTCTGCGTGTATCTCGCCGGGCATAGGTTACAGGCAAAATGCTTCTGCCCACCACATTCGAATCTCAAATGTTTCACCAGATTGTGCCTCATTTGATACGACCTGCCGCATTGGTGACAGGTGAACGCTTCCACGTTCCTCAAGCATCCGTTTCTGGATCCCCAAGCGGTGATTTGCGTCTCTGTAAAATAATGAAAAGAAAGCGTCAAGTAGGATCTATCGGGGTGCTTTTGAAGTCCTTGAACTTTTAAAAAAAACAGTCAACGTAAGGTGCCCTCTCTCTCTCTCTCTCTCTCTCTACAAAGTAGCTAGCAGTCTCCTGTCTCTCGGTCGCTGATCTCGCCAGAAACGGCTCTCTTACTTGGACGATTAAAGAAAATCAAGCTGTCTCGTGCGCAACGTTTATTTTAATATCGTTCGTATAATAAGGACCTTACAGTATATCTGTCTTTGGTTGTTTACCTCGTCTTATCGTTATAATTTTGTATATATACCCCCGCGGAAATTCGTTGAAACCTCTAGAAACGACGAATAGACGTGCAAAGAATCGCGTTAGTTATATTATTCGACAACGATCGATTCGCGCCTATTCGATTCCATTTCTATCACTGAGCAAATATTCGTTTAGGAACGGAGAACTTTGGCGGAAGATAGATGTTGTGTCTTTGCAAAAGGTGTCGACGCAGCCCGATATTCTGCGTGTACCTCGCCGGACAAATGTGACACGTGAAGTTTCTCTGTCCTCCGCATTCGAATTTCATGTGTGTGGTTAAATTTCTCTTCATCTTATACGTTCTTCCGCATCGTGGACAATTGACAGGCGCCTCTGCCGCGTTTACGGACCTCGTGCGTGTGACGTTACTCTGGAACACGAGTCTCCGTCTGAATCCTAGAAATAAACGGGAGATCCTATTAGAGAGAAATAATCGATATTTCGCGGAGTACACAATTTACGTGGATTGGACACCAAAACAGAAGAATGATTTCACTGTCACATTTAGAAACTCCCTTCGAAGAAAGGCTCTCGTGTTATCGTAAGGAAAAATCGGTGTACACAGATCGAGAAATGTCGATTGGACGGCAGCAGTTCGATAAACATTAATAAAAGAAACTGGTTTTCGTTGAATGTAGAGGAACGCATCGACTCAGAAATCGTACACGTTTATTCCATTCGTATAATTACACTTCATCTTTGGACGCGTTGCACACCTTTTAACGAAGCTACGGCTTAATCAACAACGAATCGGTTCTCGTGAGAGGATCGTGTATGCTTCTAGTACATTTTACTTATACAGGCCCTAATCGGAAAACAGGCGATTCAACGGCGCAGGTGAACTTGCGGAATTAATCGAAATTGCTACGTTTTTCGTGCCGCGAATTTGAATTTGTAATTTTAATGTTAAATAAGAAAACTGATGGATACCAAGCGTTCGCGATATTCGCGATACGCTTTTCGCTATATGTCTTTGATAGTTGGTCACCTATTTGAAAAGTAGAGTTTTTCGTACGAGCGTTCATCTATCGACAAAAGGAGAGGAAAAGAGGTTCGACGACGACGTTCAATGCTTCGTTCTAACGTGTCGTTCGAGGTTGGCCTTTTGAGAAAATCTATTCTTGCAAATGGGACAACTAAACTTGGGTTCGACACCGCACTCGTAGTTTTGATGCCTCCAGAGCGACGTGAACAACTTGTAGCTACGATTGCAGTTGGGGCAAGTGTGCTTTTTCTTCCTTCTTCTCTCCTGTTCGTTCAATCTCTCCCTAACGATCTTTTCGCTCATTGCCGTTCGTTTGTTACACTCGAAGGTTCTGTGGCGTTTCAACGAGGCCATCAACGCAAACTTTCGATTACAATCGGTGCACAGGTATTTCCTCGGGCCATATCGGCGCATCTTGTCTTGATCGCCCTTAAATGTCATGGACCGCAGGTGCCTGGTGTACAGGGCGGTATTAACCGGTGTCAATGTCGGCAACGCCAGTACCGTCCAATTGGAGGAGCTGTATTTCTGTGTGTCTGGAAACGAACAAACGAAATAAAAGACTTTTAGCATTCTCGTTGATACGCATAAGCGGAGAGCGGCGTGCGATCGTAGATCAGCATACGTTTTATCGTTATCGATCTGAGATCTCAGATCGGCAAATACAATTTCCTAGCATATGTCGTAGTATATGTTGCTCCGTTCAAAAGACAGAAACTTCTGCAAATGTAAAATACAGAGGATCTTTATTTACAGGATATCGTGCAATGTGGTGTCTACAATGATGTAAATAAACGATAAATTCCACACGTATTTAAAATACGGTTGAACGCGAAGGAAAATTTGGCCGCGCGCTACACAAACGATCTTATAAATTTTGTGGAAACTCGTGATAGGAGGCGAACATGGTTCCCTGAATGTGCACGTTACCCTCGACATCGGCAAGGGCGTCCACCTGTTGCAATCTATAACGAGGATTCTGATCGAGAAAATGCTGATGTCTGGCCAGTATGTGCTTCATCAGGCTATCCTTGTATCGTGTTCTATGTGGGCAGAAAGCGCATTTGAACTTTGGGTCGATGCCGCATTCGAAATCGTGATGCCTCTTCAGATGATGCTTATGCTTGTACGTTTTGCCGCAGGTGGCACAGGTATGCTTGAATACCGAAATCGCAGGATACTGGGACTCCACTGAAACAGACACGAAATTTCATCGATTAGTCGAAATCGATGGTTCCCGAGCGAAACAGTTGGCCAACTTAAGTCGTCGGACGATCTGAAACGGCTTGTTGCTCGAACGATCCGACAAACAAGAAAACAAGGAACGTGAATAGGAGATAGCGTCTCTCGGAGGGGATGATTAACGCACCAAACACAGACAACAATCGTTTTGGTATAGAACGTGACAGATTTTTATTTGATTCGTGCCACTTTTTCTCTCGACGGTCGACGACGAAAGTCACGCAAAGCTGGTCCAGCTAAACGGAAAACCTTGCGACGTTCGGTAGCGTGAAAATTCGTATCCTCGTCGTTTGTTCCTCGTTCCTCCGTTTATTTATTCTTTCCTCTTTCTCCATCTCGTTTTATTAATTCACGCTCAACATCGAGAAGCATACGAATCGAGAACGGACCGATCGCTTTCGAACATTATCGAATGTATTATACACATATATGTTTGTATTTGTGTGCGTGCGTGACTGCTTGTCTCGTGTGTCTGCATGTATATAAGAAAGAACAGATACGCCAGCATTTTCGTTTCTAACGAAATTATCAGCGAATTATGCAGCGCTGTTTACGCGATGTTCCATTCGTACGTTTGATCGATCGACGGGTAATCGCGAAATCGCTGCTAGTCGTTGTTCAGGGATTTCTCTGCTGCCTGATATTCGCTGTTCGCGGCGTAAACCCAGACCTGGCGTGCTTCATCATGTGCACCTGTAGATACGACCTGTAGGTAGCTCGATAGGGACAGAAGGTGCATTGATGCATTGGTTGTTTACCGCATTCGTTTATCACGTGTCTGCGCAGGTTCTTCATTTGGTGATAACGGCGATCGCAATTGTCGCAGGCGAATCGCCCTTGTCCGCGCGACCTCCTTCGATCCTTGGGCAATCGACTCACGTAGAACCTCATTTTCGCGTAATCTGCAACCAGGAAGAAATCATTCGGTTAAAATTCCAAGTTACAGATCGCGATCGTCGTTCCTTCGATCGTCGTTGAACGGATTATTTGCGCGAATGGAACGAACGTCCTTTCATCGATCAACGCGAGTATGACGTACGTACGTTACATATGCCTCTAAGCGTACGCACTAGCCGTACTTACGAGCAAAACGAAAAGGAGACTAGGGGCTAAGGAAAAGAATTGAACGTTGTAATTTGTCCGAAATGTAAGACAAACGGGATACGTTTTCGTTACATGCAGATGGTATCGAACACGATTGGACGAATCGTCGTAGTTTTGGATCGCAGATCCTTGACAACAAAAAAAAAAGGAAAAAAGGAGGACGAGAACGTGCTGCCATGTCGACAGCCTCGAAGTCAATTTTTCGAGTGTCGAGCGGCGAGCATCGAGCAACGTTGCGACGATGCATCCCCGAATCGATCCATAACAACTGCGAATAGCCATCAGGTTAAGTATGTCAGGCGAAGTATATTTTCGAAAAATTCAAATTACATTTCACCTACGACCGTGGCGGCGAATGATACAACGATCGCTATTGTCGGAGCCGATATTTGTACGGTAAACTTGATATTTGTATTTGTATGGGTTACACTTTTCTAGGTCTTTTCTAACGCGACCATCGCATCGTTCGATCACGAGTAGAGGAGACTCGAACGAATACGCATCACGTGCTTCGATATACTGCTCCTATACTTGCTGCGACGTTGTCGGTATAGGCATTTGTATCTTCTGATTTTCACAGGTTTCCACGCTCGGTCATGAAGCGACGTCTCGAGGATCTTTGAACCTGACGGTTTCTCGTCCGATTCGCCGTCGCTTTTCGCTTCGCTCGCCTTTCCGCGACACGAAACTGCACTCTGGAATCGTCGATCGTCAAATTAAAGGAGAATCGTGCATTGGGTAACCGAGATACGAGGCAAATGGGCGAAAGAGGAAGAGAAAAGAGGGAAAAACGGCTGAGAAATTTTGCAAAGTTAAAAAGGAAGAAAAGAGAGGGCAGAAGGGAAACGAATTCAAAGATTCGCCAAGAGAAATTAGGTATCTGTCAAGCCGAGTTATCTCGCGCCAGAATTTCGTACGATTCGATTTTCAACCGTAAATTTGGTGGAAATTTCAACGGAAAGATGCCTTCGATTCAGATTCGAGAGTATGTCGATCGATAAGAACGGGAAGAACGAAACGTCGTCACCTTACCGAAGAACGGAACATCCTGTTTTAACGATGAACATCGACTTTGGTGAAAAATAAGAAATTTCGAAGAAATACCCGAATTTTAAAGTTTTCTCTTTTATTGGTAAGAAATATTTATGTATGCACGTAGAGCGCGTAAGTGGTACAGTCGATATCTAATTGCAGTCTAATTGGGTTGATGAACTTTCAAAGAACGTGAACGCAATGTACATAGCTATAACACCGGTGGAATTTTCTTTATTTCGTTCGTTTATTGTCGATCGCGTATATGTATAGTAAGCGTAAGTGAATTAAACGTAAGCGATCGTTCGTTTCTCAACAAAAGATTTACCAGCGCCCGTTAACCTACTTGATCCTTGTCTAATTTCGTTTACAAACCGATATAGATTTTATACATTGCGCGTGGCAATCGACGTCTCAGCCAACTTTCTCCGCGGTTTGCTCAAAATCCACAAACTTGCATCCGCAAGTTGCGAATAAACCGTAGAGTTTCAAAGGTACGCGTACATTTTATCAAATTATGTCCTCCGTCGCGTTACACCGATGCACGAATTTGTCTGTACATCGTAGAAATGGACGCACAAAGAGCACGCGATCTACTCAATCGACCGTCTTCTTTTCTTTCTCATAATCGCTCGACGAACAAATTCTTACGAGTAACGACACACTGTAAATACGTAATAGTGCGCATGTCGTTACACGGTATGAAAATAGAGCTACTATGAAAAGTAAAAAAGTCTCGCCGCTAATCGCGTTTAAGGTCGTGCAAGATTTTTCGATCCTCGTTACACTTCGGCCGGTAATTAACGCAAAACTCGTTCTCAGTTTGATCACTGCAGTTCACCAGCGAAGTTAAAAGACACGAGTTTCGAGGGGAAAGGGGACTATCGCGCAGACCGGGAAAAGATCGACCGTCGTCGACCGTAGTCTTGAAGAGATGTCGATCGACGTGTCTCGAGTAGAAAGCAAAATAGTCGTTGACGAAGTAGATTAGTTTCCAGCGTCCATGGAGGATGACAGCTTATTCCCATTCGGCATCGCGTAGAATTCGCTCAAAAGTTTCATATGCCTGCCGTTCAAGTGGGTGTTCAGGCTGGACTTGTGCTTCGTTCTGTAAGGACAGAGGGGACAGTGGAACTTGGGTTCCACGCCACATTCGTGCTTCAAATGCCTCGCCAGGCTGGAGTAGTAATTGTATACCTTGCCACAGTTCTTGCACGGATAGGTGACTTTCTGGCAGTTCAGGTAGCCCACGGAACGCGACTCTGAAAAATTCGAAAGACAGAAGAGACGGATATTAGAAACGGTCGACGAAAATACCGAGGAATTCGTTCGTGAGGATGGCACTTTCGCGATATTCATACGGCAGCCGTGCCATTCATGTCGTAGCGAGCTTCGTTGCAAGTATCGAAGCTCGTATCCG